TGGCTTTATTTAGCTCCTCTTTGTCAACTAGATGTGTTGACTCACCTTTTATGTCTTATCTAGACAACTTTGATCACTTTCTAGTCTGCCAGTCCCCTCAACAGTACCCTGTCTCCTGAGCCATATTGTTCAGGACCCATTTTGCCATTATCATAGAGTATCCTGGCAATGTATTGAGTCTCAAGAAGGAGTTTTTGACCTAGTTTAATACTTTTTTTTTTTTTTTTTTTTTTTTTTTTTTTTTTTTTTTTTTTTTTTTTTTTTTTTTTTTTTTTTTTTTTTTTTTTTTTTTTTTTTTCTATTAAAAAAACCCTCTTCTGTGTAGAAGTGTATTTCTTTTTCAAACAGTGATGTCTGTGTTCCAAAGTCAACAGCACAGTGTTCATCTGTCATGTCAGCTGGTACAAGTGGTGATTTAATGAAGCTAAACAATCTTTGCTGATATTGGATCAGAAATAGGAGGGGGAAAAAAAGAAGCCTTCTAGGAATGTACTTCCTAAAACAGTCTTCAAAAGCAGATAAAGGAGGGATTTTAGTATCATTTATTTCTTCCCTCAGCACCCCCTACCATGTTGTCCCTGTGCCCAACTCTTGGGAGCAGTTTGTGAATTCACTTTTTCTTGTTGAATTGTTCAGCCTATTTTATTCACCTTTCCCACATCTTGCACTCAAACCTTCCTGTCTCCTCTTTCCAGGTGATCTGAAGCACATCACCAAACTGAAGCCCTGGGGCCTTTTTGAAGTCTTGGTGGAAAAATACGAGTGGTCCCAAGATGAGGCAGCTGCATTCACAGACTTCTTGTTACCAATGTTGGAGCTGATCCCAGAGAAACGAGCCACAGCAGCAGAGTGTCTCAGGCACCCCTGGCTTAACTCCTAGAGCCTTCAACCCAAGGCCACAGCACGACCCTCTGGTTTACAGCTACATGCTGCCCCTTCCCAGACCCATTATTTTTCCCCCCCCACCCCCACCTTCTTCATTTTCAATGTGAAGTTCTTCCTTCAAGGCTTCCAAGATTTTAGATAAATCTAACCTGTTCTGCTGAGTTTGCTTGTGTGACTCCATGGGGACTCTCCTCAGCCAGTGGGTGTCATCTGTGTTTTTGCCTTGATTTGGGGCTTCACCAAAGACTGACTAGAAAATGAAGCTTATTTTCTGAGTCTCCTCACTGTTAATCACCGTTTGCTACAGATGTCAGCTCAGCTGGGCTCAGATAATGCTCCCTTAGCTAAATTTCAGCTCTCTTTTCTTCATGAGGGGAGGTGTGAAGATCCAAATGCCTCCTTATCTCACTGACTCAGGAGTCAGGTTCCCACTGTTCTTCCAAGGGGCTGAGAAGCAACGTGGCACCAGGGTGGTGTTAGTTCCTTGTAGAGCAAAGCCTTCCAAATCCTCCAGCGTTTTCTAGGTGTCTACTGTATTCTTTGCTTTCCAGTCACATAACTTTAGTTCTAGCTGCTTAAATCCTTTCAGAAAAAGCTATTTAAAGCTAGGTTTTAGTCTCCTTGATTTCTTCCTCCAAAGTGCCCTTTCCCTTTTTCCTCCCTCTGCCCAGATAGAATAGTTTCTGAACTCGGGGACGTTTTCTACTCCGATGCCTGTGACTAAAAGGTGACAAGCAAAAGCTGGCACAGACTCAAGGCCCACCCTTCAGCACACAGATGGGTGCACCCTCAGGCTTGTTGAAGGCAACTCTGTGTCCTAATGAGCTGTGTAAGGTGGGTTTTTTGTTTCTCATCCCTTACCAGCACTTTTTTTTTTGGCCTTGCCAGAGGCAGTTGCTGTATCCAGCAGAGTTTTGCTTTCATTGATGCAGCCCACTCTGCCTCTTCATTTTTGACCACTTTTTTCCCAAGAAAAGGGTGTCACAGCCATGCTATGGCCCTTCACTTGCAGAATCAACACTTGAAGGCCCAGTGGAAAGCTTGTTTTTTCTTCCTTTTACCCTGCTTCAGGTGCTGACCTTCAGAAGTAACTTCCCAGGATGGGACTGCCTTGCCTTTTCTTTTCTGGGCTATTAGCACAAGGAGAGCTAGAAAAGTGGGAGAGAACTGACTTTTCCACGTAGATACTGGATTAGAAGCAGTTTCTAGAGTTACCCCAAGTAAGAATGTTCTGTGGGGTTTCTATATAAATTTCTTGGAGGGGGTTGAATATAAGGAATAAATGTGTTAGTTAATTTTAATTAAAAGTTAAATCACTGTGGAGTTGGGTAGTTTTATGATGGCTTCTTCTGGACTTGCCTGGTACAGATTCAGTGCATCCTACTCTGCTCTACAGCAAGATTTTGGCAGCATTGAGACTTCGAAGGCACTTCCTTACCCTGGACCAAACAGGCCTTTGGATTGATGGTGGCTCTCAGAGGACAGAACTTGCTGGAGGCCCCAGAGATGCTAATTACTTTGCTAGAGCTGCCAAGACCACAGTTGTGTGTCACTTCTGTATGTGTGTCTGGAAATCCTGGTCCAGAAGGATCCTGCATTCAGAAACCTTGGTGTCATTTAATCCACTTAAGAGTTTCTCCAGCCCAGTTGGGCTGGTGAATGCAAGTCATGCTGCATGTTGTGTAGGGGTAGATCAGGTTCTCTATGCATAATAGTCTAAAATGAGAGGAAGGTAACATACCAAAAGAAGTTTAAAACTGCTGATTTGACTTTTTCCCTCCCCCTTTTATGTGGAGTTTTCCAGTGACCTGTCACTTTCATATCTGTTCCAGGACATCAGGTAGGGTTCCAAAATACCTGCTGTCAACATACTGTGAAGATAGAACACCTGCAGGGCAAACATTTCTGTTGTCTTGAGAGCTCCCCTGGTCCTGTGCACTTGAGACTGGCTGATGAAAGAACTTAAGGGGTCTGTGCACTTCTGACAGCTCCTCCCCATCCTTCCCTCTGCCACCCTTGCCTGGAGGAGGTTTATTTTGCCCTGCCAGCCCAGGCTGGAGCAGCTTGTGAGTTGAAGGTCCCCAGAAGGAGCTGTCAGGATTCTGTCTTGTCCCGTCTGCTCGTTCACTTGGGGTTTGTTAAATTCCCACACTAAAGGATTTGTACTTGCTGTGTCAGTCTGAAACCTGAAGGAAAATACATTTTTATTCTTTCTACTTGGGGTGCTTTGTCTTTTTTTTTTTCTCCTGTGAAAGCAACACAATAAACAGGTTCTTTAATAACTGAGCCCTATTCCTCATATGTTCCCTCTTGAAGTCTGTTCTTTGAGCTAGTGGCCCAGTGATGGAATTTTCTTGGCCAGTGGGCACTAAAGTTTTGTTTTCCAGAATGAGACAAAAGGTAGATGGTGCAGGTGGAGATTTTATTGCTGGTTTTGTGATCATCTTTAAAAGGGAGAGAAGAGCAGTCAAGAGCAGGACAGCTCTGCTGGAGTTTTTCCATTATAAATGTTCTTCCTCCACAAGTCTGTCACCATCCCTGAATGTGTTTAAAAGTCCTAGAGATGTGATGTCTGGAAATATGGATGAGGACTGAACATGGTAGAGCAGGGTTAAAGGTTGGGCTGGATGATCTTGCCATCTTCTGGCAAACCTTGAAGGGAGGTGGAACTAACCACCAGTGAAGTGACTTTTGCCTCCAGTTCCTTTTTTCTTGGGAAGTTGAATTTTCCAAAATCAGCTCTGTTTTCCTTCCCCATGATTATTCTTTCTACCACTTCCTTTTGATAGGGCCTGTTTTCCCTGAGTAGAACTCATGGCTTCAATTTCTTCTGCCTTTTCTCAGTTGATTTTCATATGAATCGAAAGTTTGTAATGAAACATTTTGATGTTCTTTCATAGAATGGTTTAGGTTGGAAGGGACCTTAAAGAATATCAAGTTCCAACCCCCCTGCATGGGGGTGGGAGGAGGTGATGGAGGAGAACAGGTCTTATGAGAAGAGGCTGAAGGAGCTGGGGCTGTTCAGCCTGGAGAAGAGGAGGCTGAGGGGAGACCTCATTGCCCTCTACAGCTACCTGGAAGGAGGTTGTGGTGAGGCAGGTGTTGGTATCTTCTCAGTGACCATGAGTAGGACAAGAGGAAAGGGTGTCAAGTTGCACCAGGGGAGGTTCAGATTGGATATTGGGAACAATTTCATCACTGAAGAATGGTGAGGCCTTGGAACAGGCTGCAGAGGGAGGTGGTGGAGGCACCATCCCTGGAGGTGCTAAATAACCAGATGTGGTGCTGCAAGAGAAGGTTTAGTGGTCCCAGAGGTGCAGGGTTGACAGTTGGGACTTGATGATCTTGAAGGTCTTTTCCAGCCTAAGTCATTCTATGATTTCTCTGCTGTCTGTCCTAGCAAAGAGTCTTAAAACCTTCCCAAAGACTTTATAGCAGGAGGCATAAAAGAGGAAGGTGCTTGTTGGAACTGAAGTGAATTGGCTGCTTCAGGAACCAACCAATGACAACAAGGACAAACGAAAATGGTTAAATAGGTTCATTTGGGGTTCTGAGCAGGTTAAGAGCTGGGGGGACTGATGTGCTGCTTTGTCCTCTGCAGAAACAGACTCTGCTGGAGCTGCTGCAGGTGGGGGTTGGATGTGATGAGAAATGATGGCCAAATGGGATTCATGATAGGGTGCAGGGAGCTGATGCTGACTGGCACTGTCCCCTGCAGTTGGTGGGTGCTGTTACAGGCCTGCAGGTGGTTTTCCCCCCCCTAGAAAAGTGCCCTTTTCCAAAGGTTGTGTTTGGTTCTTGCTGCCCTGAGTGGGAAGCTGATCCATGGCTTTGCTAGGAATTGACTGTCTCATTTCTTCATGTACAAGGGCAACCTGGGACATGGCAGAGAACTTCCCCTGCCTCAAGGAGACCAGCACAGAATCCAACCCCCTGTTTTTTAGGATTATTCAGAAGGAACTTCCTTGAAAGAAGATGTACAAACCCCAAGAAGCAGCAAAATCCCATCCCTCCCCTCATCCCCAGCTTTGCTGATGGACTGAAAAAAACTACAACCAACCCAAGCTCTGTCCAGTTGGAGCTCTTCCCATAAATCAGCTCCATCAGAGCTGAGAACCACTAGTGGCCCCAGGGGTGAGAAGAACAGTTGTAGAAAATTCACAGATGTTGGTAAGTTTAAAGCTTCTGGAAAAGTCACTTTCAAGAAAAGTGCTGATGGAAGAAGAGTTCCAGGTGCCCCTGGGAAGAGAAAGAAAAGGTCAGTTGTTGCCAAATGGAGCATGACTTTTTAAATTTTTAAGGTGTATTTTTAGTCACTCAGCAAGGATTGATGTTCTCCTGGTTCACAGGAGGCAAAGCAAAGAGTCTTTCCCATTTAACCACAACTAAAACCAAATCTATAGCATCAAAATCTCCCTGGTTATCAGCCCTTTAGTAAACCTCAAAGTACACCAGCAGAATCCTGTCTGCTGGGAGGAAATGGTAACAATGGTGTGGGTGTCTCTTACCTGGTGGTCAGGTCTGTCAGTCACCCTCTTCTGTGAAATGAAAAAGATAATTACTGGGTTAATGAAGTGTAGGAATAACAAGGAAGGTGCAGGTGTGGTCTCACCTGCAGCAGGTGCTGTGACAGCTCTGTTGCTTCCCAGTGAAGGAAGTAGTCACAGAATCCCAGACTGGCTTGGGTTGGAAGGGACCTTTAAGACCATCCAGTCCCAACCCCCCTGCATGGGCAGGGACACCTCCCACCAGCCCAGGCTGCTCCAAGCCCCATCCAACCTGCCCTTCAACACTGCCAGGGATGGGGCAGCCACAGCTTCTCTGGGCAACCTGGGCCAGGCTCTCACCACCCTCACAGGAAGGAATTCCCTCCTCATCTCCAACCTCCATCTCCCTCTTCCAATTCATAACACATAATGACATTACATAGAACTACAAAAGAGCAGCAATCACTTTTCACCCTGGAAAGGCTCTGCAGCAGGACAGGGGATTGGAGCTCCTCCCCAGCCACCTTTACCTTTACTTTCTGCTTTAAAATCGGAGGGGAGGAGGTTGTCCTGCCGGTTCCCCAGCACGAAGGCCAGGAAGGAGAGGATGAGGGCGTCGAGGATGCCGATGATGCAGAGGATGTACGCCCAGCGCACGGTGCAGGCCCCCAGGCTGTACTTGTCCGTCTTGTCCCCGCACAGACGCCTCACCTCGCCCGAGTCCCAGCCGTCGGGGTAGATGAGGCAGCCGATCATCAGCCCGGTGGCTGCGGGGAGAGGGGGCGGGAGGGCGGGGATGCG